TATATTTTTTATATGTATTTTTGGGTACCTATCAAAAGATGTCTACTTCTAAATACTTGAAACATAAACCATTGTAAAAATCTATTTGCCTATCGACATGGTGCCTTATTATAAAACTAGTTGTTCAAATTGTTCCAGCAATATCAGTCTAATAACTAAATAATATCATAACGATATTGAATATTAAATTAGGTATGGTGAAAAGGCTGATAGATAGGTCGGGGCACAGTGAAGCGTGGCACATGTGCCTAAACTCAATCATGCGGGATATTGGTCGGCGACCTGTAACACGGTGTGGGCACACCGGCACCCGAGCTCAGAAGCTGTTAACTATCATATTTGTAACTAATATCATATTAGGAACAGATATTTAATGGGGAAATACTAGATGCCTTCTACACACGCTTACGCTTTTCACCTGAAAAACTTAGTTTCTAAGGCTCATTGTACTAAGGCCTATTATCAAAACTGTCCATGCTTATTTGCTGTCTAAATGTAAAATTCAAGCATCCTAGACATTCAGCTCGAAGCTAAATTGTCCACCAGATATGAAAGTTGTATAGAAAGCCCATCTCCAACTCAGTTACGCTGCATGATCACAAACCGAGTAAACTAAAAGTTTGCAGTTTCAAACTGTTCTTAACTTCGAATATTGAGAGTGACCTCGAAACGTCCGCAAAGGTGACAAAAACATCATCAACAAACCGGTGTTTTCGCATTTTGTGACCAGCTTAGCGCTGACTTAACAAAATCAAGTGAAAAGTGTAATAAGGGCCTCCTTAATACGTCCGATGTCAATATACCTTTACAAATTTAGAAGGAGTCGTGCTGGTTATGTTAATTAATGGTAGAGGAGGACCACAAGCCCTCCACAAACACTGCGCGTACAAATTATCCACATAAGGGATAATGTGAAACCAAATGGACCGCAGGACGGCAATGCCGAGATCTGGGGCTAAACCGTCTACGTCAAACCGACCTCTTTAGTATTCCGACACATCAGATAAACTCGTCCGTAAACCGAAATCATTGTTATGAAAAGATTCTGTAAATCTCATCACGAAGTTTATCTGATGTAGGCCGACTGGAATGGTAGGTAAGGTTTTAGTGTCAAAATAATATATGCGGAATGGCATTGCTAGAAGTATGTACCTACTTTGAAGTATGTACCTATAATGATGTACCTAACTAATGTTTTTATTTTAATTACCTAATCTAATCTAATGTCTACACAAACATGCTTCAAAAATAATGTAAAATAATAAAAGTGTTGTGTAGCTTTGCTCCTCCGTAAATATTTTCCCTATACAGAAGCATGTTACCTATAATAACTTACTATAGATACAAAAAGTAACATACAAAAAACACGTGGAATTTTTCATCAATCTCATAAAAGTGGAGGGACGCAATTTTATTAACAATTTGTTCACTGCAGCGTCGGTACGTGCAATGAAAAATGCATCCAGAACCGTAGCATACGGTCCTCCGACTGATTAAATAACAGTGTTGCCAGCGTATCGGCTGATGACTGGCCGGTTTATTACATTTCCCGTCCAACATGTTACCATGTTGCACGAAATTCGTTACGGTCACTAGATAAGCAACTAAACAAACCGCCTCAGGGCTCATTTAATGATATTTCGAGTTTCTAGTGAAATTTGATAGTTGGTAATTAAGTCCGTTTTCCGAGAACAGTTAACGAGTTTATTATTTCAAATGTCGATTTCGTTTGTTGTTAGTTTTGGGGCTACCAATGTTTTTGATAAAAACATTACAACATAAAATAATTGGATACTTTTGTTTGCTTCACAAATAAAGTTGAGAAAGTTGCTTAGTAAGGTAAATAACTTTTTGGTAACTAAGTACATTAAAATTGACAGTAGTTAATTTATATTAGACATACAATTATGTAGGTACTTAAGTCCGGTAGATACTTTTCTTCCTTTTATAGACTAGACTGTCCGACTTCAAGTCTCGGGTTCCTTTCTGAATTACTAGGTACCTACTGCAAGCAAGCTAATAACTATCTATGCACAGGGACACAAAGAATCATTAAAAAAATTACATTCACATTCATCTCTCTTAGTCCAGTTTATAGGTATTGCAGCACATACTTATACATAAGTGTACCTACACGGGGTCGTGTGTAAACAAGCAATGCGCTTTATTGGCTTCAGGTACAACTATAAGTATCACAAAGCAGCTTACGAGGTCGCAACCCGTACCAACTTTAACCAATAAAAGAATAAACAAAATCAAATAGCAAACGAAACTTTACCTCTCAAACTTTTTAAATGTGTGTAGTTCAATAACTGGCTATCAAACAAATTCGAAATTTAAAGTTGTGTGGAAATACGTTTATGTAGGGTAGGTAATCATGTACTATACCTACTTAGGGAATCTAAAAATGTCACTTTTTATGGCATAAGCCGGTAAACGAGCAGACGGATCACCTGTTGGTAAGCAATCGGCGTCGCCCATGGACACCTGGAACACCCGGGGGCTTAGACAAAGTAACAATTTAAAAACGATAACGAAGTTCGTTAAGACTAAAATGTATGGGATTGACATAGGCCGCGTTAAGTCACGTGGTCAATCGACATCGTTATCGCAATTTGGTAGACAATGTTATATTTCATAACGAAACTATAAAGTAACGAATCGTTATCGTGTTTATTCCATATAAATGCGTAGACAAGCAGACCTTTCAGTGTTCGCCAACGCCTCGATCGTGATCGCCAAAAAAGATAACGAAACGAATGCTAAAACGTTGTAGTTATTGAAACAATATGGCCGAATTTCATTCGGCAGCAGATTTTTGACATCGATTGATCCTGTTATTATTTATTTTGTGTTAAGAGGCAATACACTAATACCGATCAAATAGATTAAAATATGCATTCTCTGCGTTTATTGTGGGCTGCACACAATGAGAACGCCTAGGAGAGGCGCCAAAAACGGTTAAAACAGCGACGGTTCAACATAGGTACTTCATTGTTAAGATCGCGTCATTGTTTACATTACATACTCATCAATGAAACTTAGATTTACTTACGTTTCCATATACTCGAGCAGCGTTGCGAATTGTTCAGAACTTGCTCGCACTCTTGATTTCATTTTATCATTTAAATAGATAAGAAATAGAGAGAGATCCATCATCGTTTGAACACCAGTCACTTATAAAAATGAGTCTATTTTGATTATCATTAAGTTTTGGAAACGATCTAAAAGTAATAACACTCTATTCACTTACGACTGTAAAATTATCGTTTATATTTAACTTAAAAACAATTAAACGCTACACTCACTTTCATATTAATAAAATTTTAAAACATCAATATCTCGCGGGTTTGATCCGATTTGAACTTTTTGACTGTCACTGACAGCTGGATTTTCGATACCATAACCAATATTTTTGTTTTTTGCCGAATAAAGAATTCGACACAACGATCACGACCACAGTGTTACATTGGCTAGGAAATGTTTATCGTTATCTCAGAGACGATGGCGAATTTACTTTTCGTTTCGCTATTAAGCGATGTTACTTTGTCTAAGGACCCAGAGGCGTTACAAGTGCGTTACCGGCCTTTTGAGGAATTAAGAGTTTGAGGATCGTTGGGGATTCAGGAATTGGGGAGATTGGGGAAGGGGAGGGTAATTGGGCCTCCGGTAACCTCACTCATACGACGAAACACCACGCAAGCGTTGCTTCACGTCGGTTTTCTGCGAGGCCGTGGTATCACTCCGGTCGAGCCGGCCCATTTGTGCCGAAGTATGGCTCTCCCACACTTAATTTAGAAAATGTAGCTTTTTTATCAGGGGGAAAATAATGCAATGACTTCTCCCGCCTTGGGTTAGGCGGGAGGGAGTGACTCTAACTGACTAAAAATCACCCCTTTGCTACTCCTGCTTTGAATCTGTAATTCGTTAAGTTGTCCGCAGCCCCGGATAGAAGGCTCCAAAACAAAAAAGAGAGAACTTTCAGTAAATATTTCAGTCACTGAGTCTACTGTAGGTAAATAGCCGCATACTGCAGGTACATGGCCATCGTAAGAATAAAATGTTTCGTCGACTGTGATGTACATAGTTTTGACTAGCGATAGCGGTTAAATCTAATGATCTACGATACAAATTACACTATCTAGCCTACTGAGATAGTTAACCTTACTTCTACTTATATAGTTGTGAATAGGTACGTGGTAGATAATTATAATTAAGAAGTATATCTACATTATGAAAAGTATTTTATATGCTCGTTTATAACAATGTGTTATTTACGAAATAAAGCTTCCCAAGTTAGGGACTCAAATTCTCGACAAATCCCACAAACAAGCAGAAAGTTTGCAACTCAACAGATGCGGATGAGACGTGATTAATCACATGGCTAGAACGCACACGCACTTACGCACAATGTGATTACTAAATTCTTAAGAACTAATAATAATTATAATCATTCAAATTTTTAACATAAAAAAGATAGTGATTGTTCTTTTTATGGGATAAACCGGTAAACGAGCAGACGGATCACCTAATAAATAATCAACGTCGCCCATGGCCATGCGGAACACTACAGGTGTTACAAATTCCTTAGAATTTGAGAATTTTTGGAGATTCAGGGGTTGGAGAGATTGGGATGGGGGGGGGGGGCAGTTAGGCCTTCGATAACCTCATTCACACGATGAAATGCAATGAAATCGTTGTTTCACGTCAGTTTTCTGTGCTTCTTTGAGAAAACTTAATAAAGTAAGTTAACAATCATGATTGTACGTCATACTATTATCAAGGTTGCTGTGAATACTTTGTAGCGCCATCTGCTGACAAAATGTGGAAATGCGTCAGAAGGAATTAAATAATTTTTATTAGGTACTGAATAGTGTCTTATAATTCATATTATTTGTTAAATTCGTTGTATTTATGTAGCGTAGAACTTGTTTGCCTTTTGCCTTTCAATTTATTGTTGCCACTATAAAAAATGAGTAATTATAACATGCTGAAAATCCTGGAGTGCCAAGTGTCAAAGTAAAAATCAAAATACACAACATAACATAACCTCGCAATCATACTAAAAAACTAATGAATACCGCTGTGTTTTGTTTATATATATAATTACTTTCTATTATGGCGTTATGGACATGGGTAATTACTCTCCTATAGAATATTAAAGTAATAAAACACTTAGAATATTAGCATGTAAAAAAAATGTTGGTTCCAAGTAACAAGTAAATACAGTAACTAATCATAATATTTTCAGGGTGCTAACTCACATGGACAATTAGGTGTGGGTATTGCAAATGAACAAATAGAGAAACCAACAAAAGTTGAAGTACATTTGTATCACTGTAAAATAAACCAAATAGCTTGTGGAGGTGGTCATACACTCCTTTTAGACAATGAGGGCAAACTCTATGCTTGTGGATGGAATTCAAAACTACAACTAGCGAGAGAAACTGAAGTACATAAGTTAGAACGAACATGGCCGTTAAGTGGTGTTACTTTTACAAACATAGTTTGCGGCTGGGACTTCAGCTGTGGAGTAACAGATGACCATTTCTTAATTGTTTGGGGTTCCAATTCATATGGCCAACTAGGTGTACCAACAACTCCTAAAGAATACTTTTCAGAGATCATGAAACCTATTAGACTTCCAATTAATGCTGTTCTAGTCTCTATGGGCCTAAGACATACAGCCATAGTAAACTCTAAAGGCGAAGTGTGGACTACAGGATGTGGCAGGCATGGACAACTTGGATTAGGGACCAGTGTATTGTCTTCTGACAGGTTCCAAAAAGTAGAGGGTGTTGGTAAAATTTCTCACATAGCCTGTGGGCAAAATCATACTGTAGCTTGGTGTTCAGAGGAGAGAGCCTTATATGTATGGGGAGACAATAAACATGGCCAGCTCTTACTATGTTCTGAAAAATATAAAAAGATATATACACCAAACAAAATTGATATTGATGTAAAACAAAAAGTGAAAAAGTTATTAAGTGGATGGACTAATGTATTATTATGGCTGGAAGATGGTAGTCTTTTAGCATGGGGCAGAAATAACAATGGACAACTGGGCACAGATAAAGCTGTCCCACCAGGAACATTCACACATATCAAGCTTCCAGGTTAGTTATAATGTAGACCACAGTATTCAATTATTTCTTACTTTAATTTACATTACCTTTTAGACTAATATCTATTACTTCCACCATGTTCAAATATTATTTATGTTTCAGAGGGTAGAGAAGTACAAGATGTTGCAGTAGGTTCTGAGCACACTATTTGTTTAGCAACGGACAATACTCTCTGGGCTTGGGGCTGGAATGAACATTTCAACACAGCCATTGATTTAGGACACCAAATAGTAAAACCAACTTTAGTGCCTTTAGAAATAGATAAGAATCAAAAAATTACACAAATCTATGCTGGTGGAGCTCAAAATTTCGTTGTGATTGAAGAATAAGTAAAAACTATAATTTTATTATCTGTGATAGGCCATAGGCACACCCAACAGTGAAATCATTGTGTAATCATAAATGACTCATACTAGTCCATATTGCGAGTTGCAAATGCCTTAGAAATACAATAATAATTTGCATGCGCATTTGTAATTGTTTTTTATATGCAAAGGGTATTTATGTTTATTAAGAACAATGTAAAGATATTTGAAAAACTTATAATTAAGAAAATGTATTGTAGTTTTAAGTATTTACATCAGTTGTCTAGTGATTACTTAGTTTTTTTATTGAATTATTGAAGCCCTGCCACTCTTGTATACAAATATTATTGTTTTACATGATTCATCTAGAATTGTTAGCCGATAAGCATTATAATGATGATGATGCAAGCATGCAGATGCTTAATAAAGTCCACAAGGAACTATTATTTACCCTTGTGCTTTTATCTAATCAATAAAGGTATACAATCTGTTGATTATCTTCAAGATTTAATTTCTCGTTTAATTTCATCCTATTTACAGTATATTATATGGTTTTATAAATAAAACAATACATCATTTGCACATGTGATTTTATTGAAATATAACACATGTACGGCATCATAATAAATAACAACTATTATAGTAATGACTAAAAAGCATATTTGAAATGCATACAGAATAACCAGAACAAATAAATACTAATGCATGACAGTATGCTTTTAGTGCAAAAGAGTAACAAAAGCATACTGCCTGTATTTTGTGCTCCTGATATACATATTAGTGTTACATAACTATACTTTTAACTCCTGAATTAACACAATAATGTGTTCTGATAGTTTTCAATCTTTTAGCATCACTGGCTCAAAGATATAAAATAGTTCAATTTCATTACTATGAAAACAATATTATTGTATTATTAAACACATTTTAATTTAATAACATGATATATTCCTAGTTTTAGCTCATATCAAAGTACCTACAAAATGCCAAATTATATTACACTTCATTATTAAAATTTAACAACTTTTCTAAAAATCCTAACAATTTAAGAGACACATTGGTGTTAGGTAGCTTGGAAATATGGAATTATCATACAATCTAAATACCAGTTCAAAATAATACCAAAACTTAATAATTACACATGTTGAGTAGGCCACAGCAACTTGTTTAATGAATCAAAGGTTTTTATAAATTAGGAACAAATAATTAAACAAGATATTAATATAATATCATATTTTCGTATTAATAATTGATTTTAAGAACATCAAATGTCAAAATATTAATTTCCATTTAAATATTTCCAGTTACGACTTTAACCTTTTGAACACCACTGTCAACTATAGCCCACAAACAAAATATGACCGTCAAGGAAACACGATTTTTAAGTAAGTTTGGTGGCTATGGCCAACAGACAAGATATTAATATAATATTTACCAATCGACGGCATTAAAAATTACTATTTAGAAATAGTTAACATTATGGTTTCATTGTATTAAATTATTAAACTGTCAAACACCAAGCGGTCACCGGTGACCGCAACCTATTGTTCTATAATTGTGTCTACAAAACCGGTACTCGACGAGTTAAATAACCACTTGACTGCCTTACATGGATCCATGTTCCTGCACAGCACTTCATGTGTTATTCAAAATTATTTATACTATAAGTGTTCATTATTGTTAATTTAAATAATCTTTAAATTATTTTGCATCATCACCACATAGAAACTTTTAAGTGAAAAATGTAATCAACATTAAAAAATGTATAGCTTTTTAATCATGGAAATTAAATAGTTGCATATGACCATCCTCTTTATACTGAACAAAACAAAAGTTATTGCTTCGTATTAGAGTACATTAATCATACTAAGACACATGGGTATATGAATGTTCAGTTTGCATTTGTGCAATATTGAGCAATATTAACAAGATTTTAACATCATATTCACAAAGCAATCTTGAACAATCGGCCAAGTATTCAACATTTGGTTTGCTACCTTTTCCTTTCACCTTTTTGTGTCTTGCGCTTTTCTTTTTTCTCCTCCTTTAGTTGTTTTTGTTTTTCTCTGTAAAATAATAATTAAGAATTATAAATTGTTTTCAATAAAAGATACATGTGAACATGATTCTTGACATATTAGACATATTTCACAATAATAATAATAATACACAATTTCATTTTACCTGTCTTCCTTATCTTTTTCTTTCTTTTTCTGGGCATCAAGCCGAGCCTGTTCACGACGTTCACGAGCTGCAGCATGCACATCTGCTGCATTTGTATTCTTTACTAAGTCAGGACTAGCAGCTTCGTCATCGTTTGCAACATCTTCCTGGAATACAAATACAAATTAATACTTTATATTATGTGCAACTACAATAGAAAATTCAAACCACATAACCTCTTTAATAATTGATGAAGTTCTATTATTACTACTACTACAAACCTCATTGTCAGAAAGTTGGCTATATTGTGACAATATAGCTTCCCGAATTTTTTTTTCTTCATCTGTATACTCTCGTCGTGTCGTTGTGGATGGAGCTTGAGATTCTAACAACTGGGCTAGTCTCACATCTACGTCTGTCACAGGTTTGGGGATTTCTTCCTTTGGTCGACATGACTCCCACTTTTCGATTATCTCGTCTATGTGCGTTGAAATGTCTTTTTCCTGTAATAACATAAATATAATTAGAGAAAATAACCAAGGCAATCCTAGTTCAGATACAACTCGGAAACTTACCACTATCTCAGATAGTATGCCTTCTAAAGCATCTTTCTTTTCATCCACACTGTCTTCGCTTTCTAAAATACCTGATATGTATGATCCGAAAACTCCTTCGTCAGTTTTCAACGATTTTAATTTTTCACTTAGCCATGGCTCAAAGTCACTCGTCGCCGTCGCCATATTGCTAGAGTTTTTGAAATTTCAATTTTCAAAATGTTTTTGACATTTTTGAGGTTCCTTCAAAGTTTAATATTTTTTGTTGCTGGTAACATTTGCTGAAATATAACAAAGTCAAGCGGACAATGTAAGCAGAAAAAATATTGGATTTTACTGAAATAAGCTAACTTTTTTTTATCTTCATCCTCCTCTATACTTTCGTAATATTTCACATTTTACCGATTTACTATTTAGAAATGTATCTATTTCTGAACGAATTATTATCGAAACACCGTTGTCATCCTACTACTAGTGTTGTCTTGTGTATCGACATTTGTAAAATTAACTCTAAAATAATAGAAAATCAGCCATGGCCATTCTTTAGATAAAAGCTGATGACTTCCACCTTTATGCTAAGTTATTATACTTATAGAAAGGAATATAGTGCATTATGGAGGAATAAATAATATATTTCGCTTTTTCTATTGTCTGTCGATATCTACCTGAAACTGTCAAGTTTCACACCACTACACAGTTTGCGGCGACCGAATAGTTTACGGAGTGACTTGTAAAATATTTGTATTCTAACAAAATAAGAAAATGTCTGCGAGATACGATAGAGCTATTACGGTATTTTCACCTGATGGTCATTTACTTCAGGTGGAATATGCCCAGGAGGCAGTTCGTAAAGGATCGACTGCGGTATGTAATAATTATTGGTTAGCTACATTCAAGTTACCGATGTTATGTATTTACTATGAAATTGAATCATGTTATTTCATTTCAGGTCGGTGTGAGAGGCGCTGATGTAGTTGTACTAGGTGTCGAAAAGAAATCAGTTGCAAAATTGCAAGAAGAAAGAACTGTGAGAAAGATCTGTCTGCTTGACGACCATGTCGTAATGGCATTTGCTGGTTTGACTGCAGATGCTCGAATTCTCATCAACAGGGCTCAAATTGAGTGTCAATCGCATAAATTGACGGTTGAGGACCCTGTGACTTTGGAGTACATTACTAGATACATAGCTGGACTAAAACAAAAGTACACCCAGAGCAATGGACGTCGACCTTTCGGTATTTCTTGTTTGATTGGAGGTTTCGATTATGATGGCCATCCTCATTTATTCCAAACAGAACCATCAGGAATCTACTATGAGTGGAAGGCCAATGCTACGGGCAGGTCAGCTAAAACTGTCAGAGAATTCTTAGAAAAGAATTATACTGCTGATGAAGTTGCTACTGAAAATGGTGCTGTAAAGGTAAGTGTTGTACTCCAACACCAATATGTAACAGTTTAGACTTCAATGTAATCTGCCTCCTTTTGAACTTAAAACACCTGTAAGTTGTTCTTGTGCTTTGCAGTTTTACTGAGACATACACTATGCATTTGATTATATTGCAAAACTACATTGCATTTTAGTAATACAGAAATAGTTGCAATTTTATCAATAACTGTTAGTCTGGACAAAAGACTGACTGAAATAATTGTTCCAGAACTTATTCCATTGTTGTATTATAGAATAATAAAACTAAGACAGCATTCTAATAGTATCATCTTGAAATAAATTCCTGCTTGAAAGAATGGTATTCTAACTATGATGTGGAGAGAATAGTCAAATAGGAGAAAAGAGATGATTAGAAAACAAAACAGGAGTCTAGCTAAATACTATTAAATTAACTCGTCGAGTACCGGTTTTGTAGACACAATTATAGAACAATAGGTTGCGGTCACCGGTGACCGCTTGGTGTTTGACAGTTTAATGAGAGGCACCATGTTATCATTTTGAATGCCTAATTTGTTCTTATAATAATTCTAGCTTGCCATTCGTGCTCTCCTTGAAGTGGTTCAGTCTGGACAAAAGAACTTGGAGATAGCAGTGATGAGACGTGGTCAACCAATGCAGATGCTGGATTCCGACACCATCAGCTCATATGTGTCTATCATAGAGAAAGAAAAGGAGGAAGAAGCAGAGAAGAAGAAACAGAAGAAGTAATATCTTTATGTGTTGCACACTTTTCTACATTAACTAATACATGTTTTTAAGGAAATTACAAGTTGTTTATGTTAACTAAATAATAATTAACTTAAGAATTAAGCAAATCAATAGTTTTAGAGATTTGAGAATACAATTCTTTCAAATCGGACCCACATTCTTGATTGGGGCCTCTGGTAATCATAATATCATTGAACATTTGGTCCCATTCACCATGGTAGTGATCTGAATTTTCATTGTTCTTCTGAAACATAGATGTCATTAGGTATCTATTTACAAAGGTATAAATATACTCTTGATTAAAATAGACAACATTATTATACTGATGGCAGTGTAGTTTTAAACAAATGAAGTACTTACTTCAGCCATTGACATAGACACATCATCAATATGATCATTGCTGATTGATGGCAGCACACAATTCAGTGAGTTATGATCAATCTCTTTAACTTCTCCTATTTTCCTTGCAATTCCTTGGTCTGTGTCATTGTCTATATTAAATTCAGCCAGCAATTCAACACCAGACTTCTCTTCAGAAGGTTCCGGATCAAGTTCAGGCATACTGAGAAACTGTACTGGGAAGTTGTCACCACTTTGTTGACAAGTTTCATCAGTGAAATTCATAAGACTATCCTGAGGTATATCCCTGTAATGGATTCAAGTGTTAGAAGTTTATTTCATGACTATCTAATTTTGTTACCTTTACATTTTTACCTGTATGTAGCAGTCTCTTCAGCTATAGTGGTTTCGTTTTGAGGAGCTGGGACATTAGCTGTGGAAAGGAAAGGATCACAAGGAGGTATGGGAAGGAAACAAATAGGTAATTACAAAGTAAGGATAATAAACCTGGTTCAGGAAGGGCTTTATCTGTGCTGGCATCATTAGTCATTAACCAATCAAATTCAATATTTTCTTCATCTTCACAGTAATCATCTTGAGAATCTGAAATATTATGGGGATAAAATTTTTAGTTAGGGAAAACTTCATGGTACAAATAAAAAATAAGTATGTGTTGTAGACCTACCATCACATTCAAACTTAAGATTACAAAAGTGCTTAGGTGAATTCTGTACAAATAAATCTTGAGCTGCTTTCTTTAGGGCCATGCGCAAAGCTCGTCTTGCCTTTTGCAGTGGTGTTAAAAAAAGTAATTGCTCAACGTTACTGTAGAGATTCTGAAAAAAAAAACTACTTTAGATATACCTAGGTACTATCAGGATAAAAATTAAATAAACATTGCAGTTTTAAATGAATACAATTTCATACCTTAGGTTTGAAATTTCTTTTCATAGCAAGAGCTTTACGCGTTATTTTATTCAGTAATTCAGGTTTACCATACTGAAAGTAGTCGTGAACATATTCATGCATGTATGGGTTGCTAGAATTACACAAAGGATCTTGCAAATGAGAAGTGACCTTTCGAAATCCATACAGATTCAGCTGTCGCACAAAGCTTGAAATATTTGTTGTTTTAAAAATAGAGTGATCACATTGCAAGTAGTTATGAAGGATACGATAATTCAACAAAATTGTTCGTCCTGTACCACCCCATAATATGGCATCAGTGCGGAAATTTAGTAAGTACCACAGTTTTTGAGGAAAACGCATTTGGAATATAGCATTTCTGTCGTCTTGCATATTCGATAGACCTATTTTTAACATTGATATGACTGTTTGAGTCCACTCTCCCTCAGACTTTAGTATATTTTATTATGATCGACGAAAATTATCAAAGATCATCAAATTGAAAAGAAGCGCCAAAGCAAATGCAATGTCACGGTGTCAGACATTGTGTCAGGTGTCACCGTTTGAATACAAATGTCAAATTCAAAAAGAACGTGTGCACCACAGATTAGAATAGAGACGTTCAGGAATAAAATTAATATTGGATTTATGTGACTTATTGAAGTAGGGGGACAGAAAATGATGTTCTAGACTAATTTTTCTGTAAAATTATTATTATTTTTTTAATTTGCAGTGATTATGAGTATGAACAGAGATAGAAACATATTAATTTACACAATTCCTGTTAGTGAACTTATACTGGTCATTGTGGATTTTTAGACGAAAGGATTCTGTTGGGCCTCAATGTCAACATGACATTGACAAAGTTTGATGTCAGATTTCATTTGACTATGACATTATTGACACTGGTTACTGGTTGGTTGACTGACTTGGTTTGGTACATTTACATTTCAACATTTGGAACCAAACACAGCGGTAAACAATAAACAAGACGGTGAAAGTTTTTCTGTTTATTTGTCCCACGCGGATTTATTTAATGTAAAACTAAATAAATTAAGTTGTATTTCAAAACCTTGGTATAAGTGAATATTTCCAATAAGATTCGTCGACAATATGGATAAGTCGAGGTAAGATGCGGTTTTGCTAGCAATCTTTGTTTCCATGGCTTACTGAAGTATCTCCTGAACGAAATGACTCATTCGGTATTGTGCAAGTCCGTAACGGTCACAATGCAAAGCTGCATGATTTTTTTGTAGGGCAAAGTCTTATATTATATTATAGTCAGATGACAATGTTAACTGAATGTGAGATCTAGATGGTTTACTGTCTCGTCACTCATAAAAGGTGTGCATTTTGTTGCTTCGTGTAATAATTTCTCTTTTGAAAGTTAAAAATGCAGATTTGAGCTGACCTTTTGTCACAGTCTATTATAATCCCATTTATCATCTGCCTATTATTTTTGTTTTAGATTTTCAATGTTGTTACTGGAGCCAGGCGAAATTTATTTCGAGGATTATTCTTGTACACTCAGTGATAATGAGTTAAAGAAAGAAAATGCAAAACAAGGTCGATTAAAACTGTGTTCCAAGTCTCTGGTTTTTGAGCCCAGAGAATGGGTACACCCACTTATAAAGATGCAGTTCAAAGATTGTGCTGACATCACAGTAGTAAACCAGTTAACTGAGAATAATATTATTAGAGTGCGGATGAAGATGTATGCTGAGATGCTGGAGGAGAACATACTGGCACCTTATAAATTTATTTATGAAGATAGAGATTTTTATGTGTTTTTTGATTTCGCATCAGCTGATGAATGTTTGAGCCAGATGCAGCAGCTAAAGAGGGCCTCTACTTTACATGCTCCTGAGCACAATAGTATGATAGCCACAATACTCCACTCTAGGTACATGAGGATGGAGTTTGATCCTGTCATGATGGATGACTTCACTGAACAGATAGTGTGTGAACTACAAGCTGAGAAAATCTCTCCTCTTGTCAGACATCAGGGCAAGCTAGCATTAACTCCGACTACCATTTATTTCCAGCCATTCAGTAATGTTGAAGGTGTAAGTTTTATAATCCAATTAATTGTTGTCATTTCTAATAATAAGTAGATATTAGATAAAAATTCTACTGTTAAGATATGACTTGACTTTATGAATCAGATGGTTTAGTGGTGATTCATAGAATTTATAATTTAATTAAATCTTTCTGATAACAGTTTTTAAATGAGATTGGAAACACATAAGACTTGTGTACTTTACTTGACTAGGATACCTAGCAAAGGTACTTTTTACACAGTGTATAAATATCTGTTAGTATGCTAGCATATGTTTTCACTGTTGACTTAGATACCACTATCAGCTATGTATATTTGCTTAACAATAGCTCTTATGTTATATAAACAAGTTGTTCAGTTCCATTGTTGTTGTAAACTATCTAAGAGATAAACTAGCCAAGATTAGATTATAGAGGTTACATGAATATTATTTTAATTTCAGAGCCCTATCCTAAAGTTGAAGCTGAGCCATTTAAGAAGGATGTACAAAAGAAGATTTTTATTAAGGCAAGTTGTATGTATCTGTTTTACGTACTTATTTATTTGCATAGTTTTATATGTAAATTAGCTTTTGTTCATTTAATTTCTTTACACTTCATTCTTTTTGTAAAGTAAAAAAGTTGCTAAAATCGGCTTAAATGATCTCTTTGCACAAGTGTAGATTATTTTTAATATTTGTTTCAGGGGCTGGAAATATACAGTGCAGAGGAGAGCTCAGTTCCCCACATATATGTAACATTTCAGTCAGAAAGAGATAGGGATAGAATATACAAGATTCTGGAAGAATCACCCAATGTGCAGCTAGAGAAGGTTCACACAGAAGAAATGACTCTGCAGTGGCAGAATGGAATTGTTTCCAACTATGATTACCTAATGTATTTAAATTGGTAAGAATTTGACATTTTTCTAATACTGAAAATATTATCTGTTGTCAAATTCGTGTGAAATGTTGTGGTTGGATGATGAAACAATGTTTTAAAAACTTATATAAAAGATCAATCACAATATTTCATGTTAGATTTGACAACTGATTCGCTGATTTGTATTTCAGAAGCAGCGTTTGGAGCACTGACTACTTTGTTATTTGGCCAAAGAGTAAACATTATTTTTTTATTGTTATTTACAACATAACATCACACCTTTTTATCCCCGAAGGAGTAGGCAGAGGTGCACATTTCGGCACTTAATGCCACTGTACAATG